TGCTGTTGATAGATTTGGCCGTATTGAAGTTGGTCAACCTGCCAGTTTCTCTGTGGATCAAGACATTAACATGTCATTGATTGAGTTCGAACGTGTAGACGTTGTTGTGTAATCACCCTTCTCCCAAAGGGCCGAAAAGCCGCGAGTACGAAGCTTAATTCTATCTCTTGGGTACTTGTTACCATGAATTTCTCTTCACATACTGGAAGAGAAGACTCAAGACACTTTTTCTGAGAGTAAGCCTTTTGTAGTATTGAAGAGGAACAAGCTGTTAATTCCTGTTTTCCTTATTTACTTTTTGGACAATCTAGGATTTAGAAATTACAAAGCAGTTCTTTATAGATACATTTTGTTGGATAATCAAATCAGTGGTCTTTTCAATTAATGTATTGAACCTTTTCTTTTTCAGTTGTCTTAGATTAAGTGCTCTATAACCCAACTGCTCTCTTTTCCTTTTGCCTTTTTTACCCACCCCAACCTGAAGTAGTAATCAGTGTTTCATCCTTACTCCTCATTGTGACTCCAAGTTTTGATTGGAAATGAAGGCATCTCACTAATGTTTTTGATAGTTTTTAACACATTTGGCCTGTTGGCTGAAAATAATTACAATTGCTAGTTAAATATGCATAAAATGTACACATTTACTGGCTATTATTTTAGAGGACGGCTGTGCAGTATTAAATTTTCCTTTTTGTGATAACCGAGAAATCACTAAAGGCTAGTTAGTGCACATTTTGAAATTTGGAGGCCACTGGGCCTGTTTCTTTACCTTCATTAACCAATTGGCAAACCTTCAAAGTCAAAAGTCAAACTTGTTAGGTGATTTGCCCAAAGTTCAAAAGTTAAGACCAATTTCTTTCAAGATCATTTATGTCACTGGCTCGTTCAAATAAAAGAGAAGGTGGCCTACGGTAAATATCCACTTGTAATCTGTACCGTGCACTAGTCGAGGTGCAATCTGTCACGGGGCCTAAAATTTTTCCTTTTTCACTTTACCTAAAAATTGAATGACATAAAGAAAACATGTATGGTACATAAAAATAGAAAATTAAAACTGAACCCCCCAAAAAAGAAAGAAAAAGAAAAACCCCAACAAGGAATTAATTATATGTAACGAATTATTGGTGTCAATTGTAACTCATTTCATCACTAAAGAGTGTTAAACATTTATGATAATGCATTTCTCATTGAACTTAAAGTTACTTAATAACTTCATTAAATTTTACGGAAGTTTAATGTAGACGTATTCGAAAGTCTGTCTGTTCACGTATTTGTCTACCTATAAATATGACACACAAGTCATAACATTTCAATATAGCCATTACAAGAAATCTGATATAGTAGAGCAAAATGAGAAAGTTTTACAAATTTTCTATCTTTGCAGCTTTGTTTCTCTTCTCATTTGCAACTTCATTTGATATTGCACTCTCCTTGTCTCCTAAACATAAGATTCCACCACACACAGCTCCAAAGCCAGCATCAAACCATATTTTTCACTTAACTCCTAAGGATGCCTCAGAAATTCCTCATTCAATTAAACCCAAATTTAAACCTAAAGTTGCTTCTAATCCTGCACCAAATAAACATGTTTCTGCACATTTGGCTCCTAAAAGCGCAATTAAACAAAACCTTCTTCCAAAACCAACATCAAATCCTAGAGAAAAGAGCAAATCTAAGTCAAGCTTGGCCCCTCAATATTCTCATGTGTCTTCAAAGCCAATTCCTCACTCAACTGCTAAATTGACAAAATTATCTCACTCATCTAAATTTGCTCCTAGGCTTGCACCAAGAAAATATTTCCCAACACATTTGGCTCCTAAAAGCTCAATTAGACAAAATCTTTCTCCAAAAATAGAACCAAAGCCAATTGAAAAGCACACATCCAACTCAATCTTGGCTCCTCATTCTCATGTGTTTTCTTCAAAGCCAATTCCTCACTCAACCTCTAAGGTGACAATAACATCTCCTTCAAAATCCAGATTTGCTCCTAGGCCTGCTCCAAATAGATATTTTCCAACACATTTGACCCCCAAAATCCCAAGTAAACAAAGCCTTCCTCCAAAACCATCATTTAAATCTTCTTTGGCTCCTCATTCTCATGTGTCTTCAAAGCTAACACCACTCTCAACTCCTAAGATAACTAAAACAACTTTTTCTAAATCAAAATTTGCACCTCAGCCTGCATCAATTAAACGTCTTTCGCCACATTCGGCTCCTAGAATCTTAAGTAAATTTCCTTCAATTTCAGTCACAACCCTTATGCCTAAGGTAACAAAAACACTTCATTCTAAATCCAACATTGCTCCTAACTCTGCACCAAAGAAACACATTGCTCCAGAAATCTCGACCAAACTAAACCGTAATTTTAAATTAGCACCGCATTTGAAAGAAAAGATTGACACTAAGTCGCGATTGGCTCCTCATTCTTCGGTGTCCTCAAGGTTGACTCGGAAAATTTCGCCCAAGCCAGCACCAAGAAAGTATATTCATCAATAGAAGAAAAATTAGAACACATCAATTTTTCTGGCAAAATGATTTATAAGGAGAAGGATCTAACGAATTGTTATGGTTTAAAGTTAAGTGTGGTGGGAGAATGATATATAGGATTTATAGTAAAATTGTTTACTCTTTCCAGTTTGCCAGAGTTATTTCATTTAGATAAATAAAGAACTTTTCTGTTTTTTCTTTAATATGTTTGCTTTCAAATTAAATAAAGAGGCGAAATATTGTACATCAAACCACATCAATTTCCTACTATACTCTATATGTTATTCCCTTGATAGTGCTAAATGTCCGCCTTATTATAATTGATCTGCATTACTATCACAATTGTCCGTTGGATTTTCTCAATTATAAAGCTAAATAAAGCTGTTAAGGACACTTATATATTTATTAACTTAGAGAAAAACAAGAACAATATATGGAATGATCCCTTAAAAAAGTAACTGAACATTAGATTTATAATAGTCAATACGAGAACCATATAGTCTTGCTTTTACAGATACATAAACAGACAACATTTTATATGAAAACGTGTGAAATAAATTTATGCCAATAACTTAATTAACACAAAACGTTTGAAGTGCACCCTTTTGTATTTCTTATTCTGTATCTATTTGAGATTTTACATTAAGTCTGATACATGACATGCTTTAGCTCAATTTTCTGTCTGTAATACCTCGTCGAGAGAAATTGTGTTTATTTCGTATGTCCATTTTCTTCTACAAGAAGAAAAAAAGTTGCTCAAGTGCCTTTTCAAGAATTCGTGGTTAAGCCGATTTTTATATTGCAATGTTATGATCTTTAGGTCAATAAATATGTATTCTCTCTAGCATCTTATACTTTCAAATTTTTGAGTATTAGTCAACTGGTCCAAGCTGACGTTAGTGGGTTCTACTAAAACTAAGTCAATTAATGTATTAGCGGAGGAGTTAGTCGAGTAGTGTATGTAGTTAGGCGTACCTTTATGTCTATAAGTATCCAACTGTATAGATATTTTTTTTACAGAACTCACACTGATCAATATACAATTACAAATTTTCTCCCTATGAACTCTTAGCTCTTCTCTCTCATTTGTCTCGTTCAAGTTCTTAGCCCTAATCCGCGGAAGTTTTCATGGTATTAGAGCCTCCGATACTGATCGTTAGCAGCTAGTAGCTTGATATCTCGATTGTAGAAGTCGATTTCTCCATTTGCTAGTTGAATTGTACTCGAGTGAGTTAGATCGAAGCTAGGGTTTCTTTCATTTGCTTCAATTTCAAATCTCTATTGTTTCTATGGCAGTCGGAGATAGAAACGAGTACTACTCCTACCATAATTATAGTTGTAACTCCTGGTGTAGTGAATATGTCCATAAGTACCGGCACTTTTCCCGCAATCGATCACAACCACTTGTTCTACCTACAACCACCTGACACTCTAGGTAGCTTTCTAATTTCTCTTTAATTGACTAGTTCTGAAAACTATGAGTTGTGTAGTAGAGCTATGCGTATTGGAATACTAGGTAAGAGTAAACTAGGGTTTGTAGATGGTCAATTTTCTAAATCTAGGTTTGAACCTAAATATCATGACCTCTGGGAGAAGGTGAATGTTATTGTCTTGTCATGGATTATGAACGTTGTTAGACTAGGTCCGTTAAACAGTGTAGTTTATACTTATAATGCACACAGAGTCTGAGAAGATTTGAAAAAAAAGTTTGACAAAGTGAATGGTGCTAGGATTCAATATCTTTATAAGGGGATTCACTCCCTGAATCAACGAACTATGATTGTTGCTAACTATTTTTTGAAACTAAGAGATCTTTGGGATGAGTTTGATGCACTCAATATATACTTGTCCTAGATGTCCCTGTCAAGGAAATACCAGAAAAATTTTGAGTATCAGAGATTGCTGCAATTCCTAAATGGATTAAATGAGTCATATACTCAAGCTAGGAATCATATTATGATGATGTATCCCACGCATTCCATCAATAAAGCTTATTCCCTGATTATAGACCAGGAGATATGGGTAGGCATAATACCGATCGAATAGTAAATTTTAAAAGTTCGGTTTCGATTTAATCAGTTATTCGGTCAGTGTATTGTTGACAAATTATTAAATTTTAGTATTCGGTATGGTTTACAGTTTTGGTGCCTCGGTTGTTCAGTTAATAGAAAAACCAAATTATGCTATATCAAATAATAATTATTATTAATATGTTCTAAAAATTATGTCTTATGGGCTGGAACTTATGAACTTCTGAATGCCCAGTTTGGATCCCTAATCAGCTGGCCCAGTGGCCCCACTATCATTAATAGGTAATTCACTAATTGAGAAGAACTCATTGATATTATCGAAGATGATTCATCATTTTTAGGACTTTAGGGTTCACTTCACTTCCATCCACAAAGTTTTTGCTACCACATCTCTTATTCTCTTCCGACTTCCGCTGCTCATCCATCGGCCATCGTTGTTACTCCCGTTGATTGCTATTCCGCTGAACACTACTCTTCACCAACTCCCTCCTCCTCC